GTTCGACCCAGTTCCCCAGATGCTGATAAAATGCATCTCTGAGGTCTAATGGTACCAGAACCGTGGTTCCTGTACAGCCATGTAGCAGCATCTATGCTGAATGGCTGGATATAGATCTTTAGCTTCTAGACCTCACTGAGTGACGCTAACTTTCCCTCTAAAGGGTTAAACCGGGTCTCCTTAGAGGTCAGGAACCTTCAGTCCTGCAGACGTGGATCCATCTGGGTTCCCAGCTGGACCGGTGCAGACTGGACCAGGACTGGCTCCGGGTCTCTACCCTCCCCCCTTCTGATAAATGCTCTCAGCTCGGTAAACTTCCTGCCCAGGCGGCAGCGCTCCGTCTCTAATCGACTAAAACAACAGTTTAAAGCTGGGACTAAATGAGGCTCTAAGCGGACCGATGGGTCCAGTTCAGGTCACTGGTCTGAGTCACTGGTCCCATAACAAGGCCCTCCTCCTGCTCCCACGGCCTTATCAGCCTAAAGCAAATAAAAGGAGAGAGGTTTAAAGAGCATCGAGGGTCTGAAGGCGGATAAAGATCAGGGAGGGGGGGTCCGGTCTGCCGGGTCTGCCTGGTTCTGATTGGGCGGTCCCTGGGGGGTAGACCTCAGGGAGGAAAACAGTCGACTCTCACGCCCTCCGCTGCTGGAACCACAGAGACTGCTGGAACGGAACTGTGGGACCAGCAGACCTGGAAGGATCTGATCCAGACTGGCCAGAACGCCTGGTCTGATCCAAAGCAGCAACGCTACAGAACCGATCCACCAGGACCGGTACCAGAACCTGAGTAGAATCCTCAGCCTGGTTTTTATTTCTCTGATAGATATTTTAAAGTAGACAGACGGAATAACCCAAACATCCATGGCTGCTGTCCTCCATGTTCCTCCTAGAACCTCCTCCTAACGGAACCGTCTCTGTTCTCCTCCCAGGATCTGTCTCCGTCTCTCAGGATGGATCCTGTAAAGACCGACATGGAGCTGCTCAGTAACAGCATGGCCACCTACGCACACATCAGAGGTCAGTACCTGCGCCTCCTCCTCTGACCCTGAAGGAGGTCAGAGGAGCCTCCTCCCTCCCTCTGATCCATGACAGAAAAGGCTCCGAAACTCAAGGATGAACGGCAGTAAAACAGAGACGGGAGGTCTGCGGTGAGCAGGTCTGTTTAGTTGACGTGTTTC